ACTCTTTCTCAGCTACGGCTCGAAGATATTGAGTACGCTTGGCCTTTAGTTCAGCATTCTTGGCCAGCATAGAAAGGACCTCGGAGTGAATGACTTTCAACGTCGCTTTAAAGTCGGCAGAAAGGCTGAGCGACGGAAGCGTCAGTGCTTGCTCTAACTTCGCACTCAAGCGCTTAAGTTCATCCTTGTGTCTGGCAGCACTGGCCCTTCCAATGTCCATATCCATGAAGGATACGTACTCGAATACCAACTCCTTCAAGAACTTCAAATCATCTTCTGAAGAAGCAGCAGGACAATCAGATGGAGTAGGGCGAGGCATTTGGACCTGCCCCCAGGAAGCGAACAAATCCTGGATAGAACGCATAATCCTGTCAGCATCCTGCAAAGAAGATTGCCAATATTAAAAATCCTCACTACAACGAACAAGGTGGAAATAGAAATGAAGCAAAAAGAGAGACTACCTCGTCGACAATCGTAGAAGATGGCGCGCCCTCAGCCAAGCTTGCCACCAACGACTCATCCATTCGTGAGGACTTCCCCTTGTCCGAGCGAGAAGATGTTGCCACAACGGACGGACTCATAGGAGTATCTGCAAAGTTCAAGAGCAACTACTCAGAAACCAATAGCACGAGCAAAGGTAAGACATCAAAAAATGAATTACCTTCTGCTTCGATGATTGGGGGGTCGACACCCTAGGAAGAAGGTGGCTCATCCATGGGTTGTGATGAAGACTCTGGGACTGAAGATGTATCTTTAAGCATGGTCCCATCACCAACCGGTTTGGATGAAGTAGCCTCAACAGAGGATGATGGAGCAGGAGTTGTCGATGCCAAAGCCTTTGAAGGGGAGGCTGAGCTTTTCTGAAAAGTCCAAAAGATTATCAGTACACAGAAAAGTTTCAAATGTGGAAAAGCATACTTGTAAATAGACCGATTTAATTACCTTCCTCCTGACGATAAGAGGGGCATCATCATCATCATCATCAACATCATCCTCCAGAATGGGAGATGCTGAGATTGGCCGTTTGCGGCTTGGAGCACTCTTGGCCGTAGTAGGCCTGGCGGGGAGAGAAGAAGATGGACGAGCAGATTGTTTAGTATGACGAGAAGGAGAGGGGCTCCGAATAGACAAAGGAGTGACCAAAACAGGAGGAGGAGAAGAAATACTCGGTTGATCTAATGAATGAAAGGCACGATTGGCCTCAGTCGCAAATAATCTGCGCTTCACCGATGGCCAGAGTTGTTCAAAAAGAG